CATCTCCCTTTCTCTGTTGCATCTTCTCATCCCGTTCTCTTTTTACCTCCTTGTCAGTTGCCCACTTTATTTCAGTCAATTCATATATTGATTGAGCCCCTACTGTGTGCAGTCAATCCATACAGCGATTGAAGTCAATTCATGCTTTGGTTGAGCACCTACTATGTGCAAATGGACTGACAGTTGCTCTCTGACCTTAAGCAAGTCTGCGATCCATCCCACTGTGTAGCTTGTGGGTTGAGATCTGGTTTCAGGTATCTTAATGTTCTTGGAGCCTAGCACAATGCCTCGCAAGTAGATAGTGCTCATCCAGTAACTGTTGAGTGGATACTGCTGAGGTAATGAGGTCAGGATGCTCAGGGCATTGGCCTCTACGCCTGTAGAATGGCAGACATAAGGTCTATTGCATAAGCTACAGTGAAGCTGATTGTTCCTGGGGAGGCCTCCAGTTCACAGGTGGATTAACTGAGGTCGAGATATGCAAGTAGCAAGTCATTGCTGACAGTGGAACTAGAACTTAAGTCTGTTCCTCTCAGGGGTGATCAATTGAGGGCAAAAGTGCCCTTTATCTTCTGAGGTCTTAAGAGGGTCCAGGTCAGACGTGAAGCTGGATCCAGGAGCTGTCAGGTAGGAGGTCCTGTGAGCTGGAGCGGGTCAAAGCCAGTGGCAGCCCCATCCCTGGCAGAGGGAAGTGGCCTAGAAGCCAGGTCAGCTGTTGGCACCTTGGAGATGGGCCCAACGGGGGGAAGCCAGAGTGATGTGTGAGAGTCTTTGCTTTTCCTGAAATACCTGCTTAGAAAGTTAGCTAGCAAGAGGGGGTGCTGATGCCAAGCCAGAGTTTGTCACACTGGGCCAGGTACCTGGCTTGAGGAGTCCAGTTTGAGGCAGGCTTCTCTGCTGGCCAAACTCAGCCCTTCTGAGGGGCACCCTCACCCCTCCTTCTGAGCAACTCTTATGCTTCCTGACCCTTTTAATGGAATGGTTTCTCTTAAGAACATGCCTACACATCCCCGGACCAGCTCAGAGGGCACCATGGGGAAACACAACCTGAAAAGCTACAGCTTGGTGCCATTGCCGAGACCAGGAATCTGGGATTGTGCCTCTCGTTGCACCTGACTCATCCAGGCCAATCTGCAGTTGAGAATCTGGTGCCACAGGAGCTCCTTGTCCAGGACTAATGTGTCCATGGCAGTAGGGGTGGTATAAAGGCACCTACTGCCTACCCTTTCTCTGCCCATAGCCGGCCCCTACTCATCTTCCCTTAAATTACTGTTAGTCTTAGAGAACTTCAGCTCTCTGGAATTCAGTAGATTTCTGATTCCAAGCACCCTTGATTCCAGGAGTTCAAATTTTTATAATTATAAAGTTCCAAGGTTAGTTAATTAGAATGCTCTCAACTGCAAGTGACAGAAAATCCATTCCATCTGGCCTCATAGCAGGAAAGTTCAAAAGTAGAACTAGGGCTTCAGGCATCGCTTGATCAAGGAGCCCAAGCCAAATCTTTCTTGGTGCCTCATTTCATGGCTTTGGAATCAGTGTGGTAGCCTGAAGGCTAACACAAAACCTGTGGGTGCAAGTTCAAGTCCTGTAGAAAATATTGAGTCACTTCCTCGATTCCTCTAATTCCTCATACATGTCCAGCAATTTGGCAAAAGTCACAGACAGAATTCTTACCAGATTTCCACGAGTCTATGCCCGAATCAATCACTGTATCGAAGGGAATGATGGGGTTCTCTGATTGCTCAGGGCTGGGTCCCTGAGGTATACCTCCATCCAATCACGCGGCCTGAGGGGAACGGTGTTTCTCCATTGAAAAGGGGGAGGAGAGCACCAGATGCGGGGAGACAAGTAGTGTCCCCACGTGAAGGTTCTGGGTTCACAATCAGTGATCCTAGGAGAACCTGACTCAGTGCTTTGAAGGAACCGCCTCTTCGGTTTAGGGCAATGGATAGCTGGGGGTGAAGGTAAGTCTCCCCACTCCCCAGAGTTAAACAAATGATGTGTCCCTTTATTCTTTATTTTTAACTCTTGAAGCCTGTGCATTCTCTTTGCATTTCTCCTCTGCTGTTACTTTGCAATGAGAATAGGTCAGTTTCTGATAGGGACGGTAGAGTCAGCTAAAGGACCTTTGGGCAGGGGATTCAGAGATGGGTCTGCCTCTGCCTTCCGGGGTACGCAGCCATCAGATAGACTCTGGAAGAAGGAAGGTGGAACACAGACACGCACCGAGGACTGAGCTGTGTTCTCATTCTTCACTCTCCTGGGGCGGCGTTTTCCATTCACACCCCTGCTGCGCTCCACAGTGAGCTGAGTCAGTTTCTGACCCACTTGACTCTGGCTGGTTGGGTGACCTGCTTTGGCTAATGGGGTGACAGCAGATCTAATTCGAGAAGAGGCGCAGGGCATGTTACGTGGCTGTGCTTGCTGTCCTGGACTCCTGCCACAGCTGGAGGAGGGACGTGACCAGGGGAGCTGTGTCCCTTACATGTGGCGCAGACGCCCGCCCGCCACTCCCCAAAAAGAGCTCTAGACCTGTGTGCAGAAAGAATTTGCTCTTGCGAAATGCCACTGAGCTCTGAGTGTGGCACAGTGGCCGTGATCGCTCACTGATAAAGGCGGCGAGGGGACACAGCTTGGGGTGGCAACCGTGTGCATCAGCCGACCTGAAACTGGGGTGCTAGGGACCCCATGGATGAGGAGGTGGGAGCCAGTTTCTATGTCCATGTCTGGGACTGTGCATCGTGCCTAGAGCGACCTGCAGTCGCCCCATTTCCTCCCCTCTTCCCCTCCTCCCCTCCTCCCCTTCTCCTGGCCACCTCTGACCCTGACTTCTGGTCAGTACCAGGTCCTGGCCAGTACCAGCCGGTGCTGGGACTCCAGGTTCCAGACTTCCTTGCCTGGGAAGTGGCCCCTGCCAGAGGCTTCGTGCACCCTCACACAACAGACTCAATATAGAAAGCAAGTCAGAGCTGTGATAAATGCAGAAATAGATGTGTGAAATTGTTCTAGGAGCAAAGAGGAGGGAGAGCTGGAGTCTCTCTGGGGTAAAGAGTGGGGTGAGGCTTGGGGGTGGCTTCATCATGGAGAGGATGAGTTGCCTTAAGGATGAGTAATAGTTCAGCTGGTGGAGAAGAAGAGAAAGAGCATCTTGGGCAGATGGAGTGACTTGAGTGAGGAAAGGCTGGGCTGGGCGCAGGAAGGAGCCGGTGTGTCTGAGCCAAGATAGGCTAGCTCTCGTGGGAGCCCAGTCTGCTGCGGCGGTGGGGGTGGGAGGGGGCCCTGGGAGAAAGGGCCTTGAGTGCCACCTTCAGTGCCAGGCTGTGTCCTGCAGGCAGCGGGAAGGGGGTGGGGGCAGGGAGCCCTTGGCGCTGAAGACCCTCCTGCAGGCAATGTGAAAATTGTAGGGGCTTCCTGGGTTCCCCCAGAGCCCTCCGCAGCCCCCCCTCCCGCCAGCACCAGGGAGAGCAAGGCCTAGATTCAGGGTTCTAGTGTCTGTAAAGTGAGCAGTTTAGGAGTGGGAAGACCCAGGGGCTCTGTGGAGGGCAGAGACTTTGAAATAAATGATGGAGTGGGAAAGGGTGAGCGTCCCGCTGAAACAGCAGGCAGGAGAAAGCAGGAGAGTCGGCAGGCGGACCCCTCTGGGTCATGGCACTGGAGGGGTTGACTGAGCCCCTCTGTACCTCATTTCCCCCTTACTTCAGGATCCTGTGGCTGCACAAGGAAGCCCTTAGACCTTAGTGGGAATCAGTCAGACTTGGGTTCAAATCCTGGCTCTGCCACTTGCTAGCTGTTTGACCTTGAACTAGTGACTTAAGCTCTCTCAGTTGCTATTGTCTGTGATCGTGGTGGGATGGAATAAGATAATTATAACCGACATTTACAAGTGCTTAGGTCTAGCCACTGATCTCTGTACTCCCACACACCTCCCACGCCTCAGCACAACCTCAGGAAGGGGCCTCTTTGAGAAGCAAGACAACCTAAGCGCAGAAGTTTAGGTGACACGCCCCAAGGCACATTGCTGGTCAGGGGCTTGACTACAGATCCTCTGGCTGAAGGTCTTGTATGCTGAACCCCCAACTCTGTATGAGGTGATAGCAATTCCCACAGGACACACAGGACACGTGCAAAATGACTGTTTTCTTGCTTTCTAAATGCTACCAGAAATAGTTGGAGGAAGAAAAGATTTCTGGGAAAGAAGTCCCAGGGAGGCCTCCGCAGGCTAGAGGGAGTATGTTTCTGTAAATTCTCTCACCCCAAAACGGGACAGACAAGGTTAGGACAAGTGTAATACACCAGTCACAGGCCCGGCAGTTGTACAATGATTAAACGACACTGGCCACACATCCTCGGGTCTGAGGGGACAGCCTCAGCGCTCACCCAGTTACAGTCCCACCTGCCGTGGTCTGGTCGTTGTGCTTTGGCGAACATGATGAGCATCAGCGGACCCTGTGTGTCCCACTGGGAGGGGGCGGTTAGGAGCCGATATGTCACAATCTAGGGTGGATAGAGTATTTTTCTCTTTTCTAAAGATTTATTTTTTGCATACAGAACTGGGGTACAGGCTAGAGGTACAGGGGTGGTGAAGAGGATTCACCAGAGACAGAGCAGAGAGCAGGACAGGCAGATCGACGAAGCACACTGCTGAGGGGAGCCACGGACGAGACTGGAGAGTCTGCTGCTCCTTGTGGGTCACTCCCTGGTGGGGGATCCAACTCGTGCTAAAGCGACTGCGGCCAGCTTCGTAGCTCTGCATTCCAACCCGTTGCGCCACTAAGGAGGGTCCACCTAAGAGTTTTAAAGGAAAATCAAAAAGAAATCACGCACTATGAAATCCCTTCTAGGCCAAAGGGGAGTGGGTCAGGCCACCTCTGGCCTCCCTCCCCCGTGTGATGTGCTACTGTCCCCAGCAGGCAATGTGGCCTTACAAACCCTGACCTCCCTAGGCATGTGCTCATGCATCAAGAGGAGGAGCCTGTTCTCCTAGGCTGCTGTGAGGATTAAGAGGATGTGCATGGAAAACGCTTGTGAAGGGCTTGCCACGCAGTAAGTGCTCAATAAATGTTTACTGTGCTTATTATTGAGGGAAGGAACAAGTGGCAAGGAGGGGAGGGAGCGCATCTGGGAGCACGGGGAGAAAGACAGGAAAGAAAACAAGCAAGAGCTGGGAGCTGGAGGAGGGAGGGGAGAGGGAGAGCAGTAGGAGGGGGCAGGGCCAGGAGGCAGAGGAGTGGGGGGAGGGGGGGGTCCTGCCGCCAGCCCAGCTCCCCAGGCACCGCCAACCAGGCTGGCAGGCCCAGGCTGTGCCCACGTGGTCCTTAAGACTGCTCGTGCATTCTTCCTGCATCCTGATACCACATCTGCCAGATGTGACCGTGGATGCCAGCAAGAACAGCTGTCTTCAGACGTGCCCAGCTGCAAAATGAGCACCCAGAGGTGCTGGGAAGGACACGGAGGCCTTGGGGGGTGGCCAAAGGCAGTGTCAGGAGGCAACCGCACCACTTCCGCCACTCAGGCGTCAGTTTCCCTGGTCAAGTGAGAGGTCAGGATGTGACCTGGCATTTGTGTCGGTGATGCAACGCTCTGGGCGTCCATAGCCAGCAGTCCTGGCTCCTGCATGCTGTCCTGGCAGGCACAGGGGCACTGCCCTCCTGAGTCCTGTGAACTGTCCTGGTTTTGCAGGACGGCTCTTCTAGTTTCCGTGGAGAATCTTGTCGGGTAAAACAATTCTGAACTTGGAACGTGAACTCTACCTTAGAATGTTTCTCTTGGCAGGGAGCTCAGAGAGAGACAGTGACTTCCCTAGGGATGAGCAGAGAGATGGCTTTAGTTGTGTTTTAGACCCAGGATGCGACTGAGTCTGAGAATGGCCACCCATGGGGATCTTGTCAGAGAGCAACAGAGTAGAACAGAAACGTGTATTGTCTTTGATGTCAGGCCAACCTTGGTTCGAATCCCCCATCACTGACATTAGCCAAGTCCTTTAACCTCTCTCTGCCTCTCAGTTTTTCCATCTGTGAAATGTGACTAATAATGTATAAAGAACTTGGCTTATAGAAACAAATTGCCTGTATTTAATTGCTCTGTAGTATTTACCTGCAGTGTGACCTAAAGCAACTTATTCTCCTAGCTTCAATTTCCTCTTGGATGGCTGTGGGATTAAATGCACATACAGACCAGGAGCAATAAATGATACCCATTAATTATTATTGGTGCTGATGTAGTTAGTAAATCGCTTGCTCCTTAGAAGGAATTTTAACGCCTTGGCCACCGGTGACCTGTCCTCCAACCCTCCATCTCAGCTCAGGGGTCCTGGCTCCAGAATTCTCTGGCACAGAACATTCTCTGCCCTGCCCACATTGGATGTGCAGGAATAGGACCTGGCACGGGGACGGCCCAAAGAGCTGCACAGATTCCGGACTGGGAAGATGCCAGAAAAGCTCTTTCTTGCTGTCATTGCAGAGGCCCAGATGGAGCCTGGCGGTCAGGGTTAAAACTAGCCTGGCTCCTGGCGCCAGTGGGCCAGCCAGACTGACTGGGCAGGGAGTGGCGCTGGCCAGCGTGTGCCAGGAAGCAGAGGCCAGAGGGACGAAGGGGCAGGGCAGGTAGAAGATGGGGCTGGGATTCTGTGCTGAGTCATGGGACAGCAGACACCAACAGGAGCTCCAGGAACCTGGTGAGGGACTGAGAGACAGCCTCAGTGATTCTACTCATCACAGCTGCAAGCAGGCATACCCCCCCACCGGGCGTAACTGAGTTATTCTTGAATCTCAGCATAACTCACACTGAACACCACCACACCTCCAAAGACCCATCTCAGTGGCCACATGCATGTCCTTATCTCTTTGCTGTCATCACAGGCTTGGCCCAGGTGGGTGGCAAGTGGATGCAGGCGGGCGTGGGCCACTGTCCATGGTCCTGAAACTCTCCACCAATGAGATCTCTATTGAACTTCTCCCAGGAGGTGTTGGTACAAGGTGATTATCTTTATTTCCTGTCTATGTGGCTTCTCTTTGTGATGCAGAGCCAACCTCTGCATGACTCTAGGCTCAACCATTTATGTAACTGGTTTTATATTCATTTGGCAGTTTCATCAGCTTTATTACTGCTGCCATTTACCACCTGGAAAAATTGGGGATTCCATACAGCCCACAGTCTTTTACCCAATGGAAGCACATTCCCTCTGGCCCTGCTCTCCTGGAATATCACAGTTAGAGGGACCCTAGAGTCCATCTAGTCTCATGTCCTCATTTGCCAGGTAGAAGGGCAGGTACTTGGGTTGGAAGGGCGCCAAGATCACAGTATAAGTTAGAGCACACCTGGGTCAGCATCCAGGTCCCTGGACCCTCATGCTCATTGCTCCTTGCTTTTACTCCCCCTGCCAAGGGAAAGGGGGTGCACAGGCCAAAAGGAATCTCCTTCCAGGGCTCTTCTCAAATAGAGAGCAATGGCTACCATTTATTTCCAGCTCACACTGAGCCAGCTCACTGTGTTGCTATGTGCTTCTGCAAAGAATATGGCTGAAGATTTTTCCATGGAGAGGTGTGGCCTCTGTCTCCAGGTCACAGGTAAGAAAACGAGTTCAGAGGCATGAAGGGATTTCTCAGAGGCAGAAGGGTAATATGTGACTGAGTTGGAATTTAACCCAAAACTTCGGGGGGGGGCTGTTTCTGACCTCTTCTTTTCACAGCCAGTCCTAATAATAAGGCCTGTTCAAAACACTCAGCCTGAAGTTTACGTTGTCTCCCGTACAATGGGACTTTGGCTAACGCCGCACTGTCCAGATTGTTGATGGGGTCCTGCTCTTCCCTGTCAGTGTTCTGACCCTGCTATGAGCATGCCCCTCGGGTCTAACCCCTCATTGACTTTCATTCTTGAAGGCCTCAGTAATATTTGGTCTTCTCCAGATGTTGGGGTCAGAGCAAAGGCCCATAGAAACATGGATGGGGGAGGAGGGGACCATCATGTTGAGGGAGAATTATGCAGCACCGTGAATATTGATGAAGCTGTAATTGGCTCCCTCTTTCAGAGCTCGTGTGTGTCTGCAGGCCCAGGCGCTCGGGCTAATTGTTGCAGGCAATTAATAACTTGGATTGTATTCACTCTGGCGCAGGCTGCCCACTTCCTTGGAGGAAGCAGGCCAGACTGGGAAAGGAGTGTTAGGCCCGGTGCTTGCAGAACGGTGGCAGCGTGGAGGGAGGGCTCCCATCTGCCCAGCCTCCCCCAGGCCCCGACTGCAGCGCCCCACCCCAGCTCAGCACCATTACCTTTCCCCACACTTCCCCCCCCTCTCTCTTCTTGAATTATTGACTCATCTGTTCTCTTCCCCCACAAGCTCACACTTATCTCCTGAACAGAGCTTCAGGGAGAGGAAAGATGGTATCTTGGGAGAAGCTGGAACTGAAACCTCGTCCAAACAAAGTGCCGCCACGAACTGGCTCCACGCGTGCTCTTCAGCTGGAAATTCATTCACCATGAACTTGGGCAAGTAGGCTGAGTTCTTTTGCAGCCGTTCTGTCACGTGAAGTGCAATCAGCTTTGCAAGTTATGGGCACAGGGGTTGAGCATTCTATCCTAGATATCTCTTTATATAACTAACTATGTATCACCATATAGATGACTAATTATTGACTTGTTACCTATAAATCTATGCTCCACCTCAGCTGAAAAGATAATTGCAGCCATATTATAAACAAATTTTGCAGTCGACAAAACTGAGTCACAGAGAAATGAACTGTCTTACCCAAGGTCATCTGTCAATAAAAGAAAAAATCAAACCGAGTTTCTTAAATGTAGAGTTCTTTCCAGCACGCCCCAGTTTACTTGCTTCTGAAATGCGATGGCTTCCTGGAAAAGGTGGGATTGGAGATTGGGACCCAAGACTTCGAAATTACTATCAGATTGAAAGGGAATTGTCTATAGATGCAATTGCTTTATTGGGGCAGTGGAGAAACTGTCTTAATCTTCTGTATTTCTAAACACTGACATTCCTAAACCTCTTCTTCCCTCTGATGTTCAGCCATGAGGTAGGGCTTGATTTGTACACATTTCCTTCCCTGGGAGCCAAGTGAATGATGTTATGTTCATCTTTAAATCATCTCTTGCTCAGAGGGAAGAAAAAGAAGGGAGAGGAGGAGGAGGAAGAGGAGGAAGAAAAAGAGGGAGAGGAGGAAGGGGAAGGAAAGACAGGAGGAGGAGGAAGATGAAGAGGAAGCCGGGAGGGAGAGGAGACAGAGGAGGAGGTGGGAAGTGTGAGGGGAGGAGGGGGTAGAGAAGAAGAGGAAGAAGAAGGGGTAGCCACCAATATTGACTGAGCACAGTGTGTGCAGTGCGCTGGGCTAAATGTTATTTTTGCTCCAAGATTTTCGCATTTAATAAACTCTTTATAACCACTACTATGGGATAGGTACTTGTACATCCCTGCTTTATAGATGAGATGACAAGAGCTTGACAAGATGAAGCGACTTTCCCAAGGTCACCCAGCTAGTAAAGGGTGGAACAGAAATCTAGCTTTGCTGGGAGTGGCACAGTCAGAGGCTGGGCTCAGGGGCCCTGCTTCAGACATGCTGGGAGAGAAATTAGAAAAAGAAATAAAAGGTTGGGCGCTAAGGACAAAGCAGCCCTTTATAGTTCAAGCCCCTTACAAGAGAAAGCTTTTCAATTAGTCTTGAAGACAGAGCATAGGGGAAGCAGGTTATCGGCACCAAGAGGCATTTAAATCAGACCCAGGAAGAACTTCCACGAGACCACACTGGAGTGGGGGGTCACGGGGAACTAAAACCTCATTCTTTGCAGCCATTTAGTTGGGCAGATCACTCGGAATCATCTTTAATTAACACCTGGAGGGAAAGGCAGCTTCAGGGAGGTGCCCTGAGATGGGGCATCCGGGCCCATGAACAGGTATGGTGCAGACAGGGGGGAAGGAAGTCTGAGGATGAGGCCCCAGGAGGAGGATTCTCATGACTTTCCACACCCGTGCCAGCTCCTGCTGCCACCACCGGCTCCCCTTTATGGCAGGCATATTTCAAAGGCCCGGTTCCATTTGCATTTTTAAAACCCCGCTGATGGCTTGGGAAAATTGCATCCTTCCAGTGTTCCTGGTGCCACAGCCCACCTCCTCCCCCACACCACTGCATGCTGTTTCCAGAAGATCCCCCACAAGGGCAGAGGAAGCCCAGACCCCCCCCCCCCCCAGAGATCCTCTAGAGGTCCAGGTCGGGTGGGAGAGGTGGCGCCAGCTCTGGCCAGTCGGGCAGATGAAGTAAGAGAGCCTGGCGAGCTGCAGGGTCACAAGCTGCACTGGTGCCCCGATGTCTTGAATCAAAAGAGCCAGGGGGCATTCGAGGGGGCCTCCTGCTTCTGTGGAGTCTCCTAGGTGCCCAAGGCTCTTTTTTTCCTGGGTCCATATTTTCAAGTCCGCTTCCCTCTCTTTACTTCGTTTGAACCTCTCACTGGTTAAAAATCGTGAGCATGGGCCCTCCCTGGTGGCGCAGCAGGTTAAAGCACAGCACTGAGAAGCTAAAGCCACTTCCGCATGAGTTCGATCCCTGCCTGCCCCGGAGGTGACCCACAGGGTGCAGCAGACCTCTCCTGACCTGCCCACTGCTCCCTCAGCAGTGGACTTCATCAGTCAGCCTGTTCTGCTCCCCACTCTATCTCTGGTGAATCCTCTCACTGCCCCTGCACTTCTGGCCTGTACCCCAGTTCTGTATGCATAGATAAATAAATCTTTAAAAAAAAATCGTGAGCATACTAGAGTTTGCCTATTGCTTTTATGTGCACGGTGGGCAGGAACCCTTAGAAGGGGCAGCATGGGTTTTTTACTAACAGTTTGGGGCCCCTGGGCACTCGTTGGTTTTGCCTGGTATTAGGCCCAACCCACTAAAGCCATTTCCCAGGGGAGTGGGGTGGTGTCTCCAGGTGTGGGGTGAGGGTGACACAGCACCAGGGGGCATCCAACTCCCTGTGGGTTTGTCAGGGGTGAGGAACCAGGCAGGAGCCTTGGGGAACACTGAGGAGGCTCCTGGAAGCCGCCTTCACATCGGCTGAAAAGAGAAAGTCATTCAATCAGAAAAGAAAACCCTTTTCTCCCAGCTGGACTTGGGAACACACTTTGTGTCTCCTCACAGCTCCCTTAAAAACAAATCTTTTCCTTGCTCTCCACCCTCCCACCCTCTCCCATGGCTCCGCGCTCCATCGCCCCGGGAGGTGCCAAGGAGTGTGTGCCAAGGGGTGTTCACAGGGTGGTATTGGCTCTGCTCCCTCCCACTCACAGGTCACCTTGGACTTGGAGAGATGTGTCGCATCTTGGGAGCTGAGTCCCGTCCGCCTCCCCCCACACTGAGGGGAGGGGCCGCCCCAGGACCTCCGCCCTCCTCTCTGGTCACTGAGAGCCGAGGCAGCTCCAGGGAAACCCCCAAGAGACTCAGCCAGTCTGGTAATAGCTGCCCTGACCATCCTGAGCAGGTGTGTGTGTGTGGGGGGGGGGTAAGCAGGCCTTGGTGCTGCCGAGATGAGCCCTCAGGGCATCCAGGGTCATCTGCCAGTGTGTGGGGCTGACACCCAGCCTGTGGGTACAGCCCGGGCTGTGCCACAGCTGGGAGGCACCGCAGAGGGGTCCGGCAGAGCTCCTTCCGGCACCTGAACTTAAAGTTCCCCCCAACTTAGTTTCCTTTTCCAACGAGCAGGGCTGGGAAACTGACCGGCGGACCACGCCAGAGGGGGACAGGTCTTGTTTTTTCCTTCTAGAACTCCAGAGTGTTCTCTCTCCTACTCACTGGGAACTTCCTGGAGGCCAGGATTATGGCCGCCCGTCTCTTTATCTTCCCTGTTCCTCTCCGCACACACTCAGAGGGCATCTGACGAACTCCCGGCTCATCCCTCACGCGCCTGTAGCTACCGTCTCCCTGCTTGACCGTGCAGCTGGCGCCGGCAGCCGGTCCACTCTTGAGGTGTCCACTTGGCTCTCCCTGGGTGGCCCCGATACACTCTGAGCCCTGACGGGCAGACAGACGTGGGACAACCGCTGGCTGTGGCTCCCCAGATCCTCCTCTCTCTGTTCCCCTCCTCCCACGGGTCAGGAGCTGGAGAGACGCCAGGTCCAGGGGCTGGCCTGGGACTCTGGTGCCAGAGAGGTGAATGGAGAGCGAGGAAGGGACAGTGCCAGGATCCTGGGCTTGGCAGTTCTCTCCGGAGGAGACCCAGGGATGCCCTCGAGTGTCCAGAAGGCTGGTGGCCTGCCAAGACAGGGGGGCCGGGGGGAGGCGCACATGTTGGGAGAGACCTGGGAACCTAGGAAACTCGGGGTGAGCCTGCCCCGCTCCCTCGCCCGCTCCACCCGCCCCCTAGCCCCCAACCCCGGGACTGGGGCCCTTTGCAGAGGTGAGGGCTGACCCCCAGGGGTCGCTGCGCCGCTCACCGCCCCCCCTCCCCGCGCCCGCCAGCTTTGGGAGTCCGGTTGTACCACCGCGCGGCTCCCGCAGGGGGAGTGGCGGCCACGGCGGCGCTGGCGGAGGGCTCCGGAGACAGCAGTGCGCGGCAGAACGCGGGCCCTCGCCGGCCGCAGCCGCAAGGCCCAGGAGCGGGGTGCCCCGGGGCACCAGTGACCAGGGGGCGGCGCTACTCCAAGATCCTCTCCCCGGACACCCCCACAGTCCGTGGTAGGAGCCAGGACCCAAACAAAGGCGGGCGGCGAATAAAAGGCGGCGGCGCCGAGTGCTCCCGGTTGCGCGCCGGGGATCCGGATCCGCACTAGACTGTTGGTGGTCTGTGCGCTTTGGGGCAGAGCGGGGAACCGCGGCTTCCAGCAGCCCGGAGGAGCTTCTCCGCGACTCCCCGGAGGGGACGAGTCTGCACCGCAGGGTGGCCGCAGCCCCGGCTCCTCCGGCCCGCCTCCCTCCTGTGCCCGCCGCTCTTCGAGCTAAGCTTGGCCCGCCGAGGTGAGTCCGACCGTCGCCGGGCGCCATCCGGGTCGGGGCTGGGGCGTGCACTGCTCGGACCTGAGGCTCGCCGCCCCTCTCCTCGGCCTGCGCGGGGCTGTGTGTGAAGTTCTTCGGGTCTCCATCCGGAAGCTCCATCCCGGGATGCGGGCCTTGGCGCACCCCCACTGCCTTCTCCCGGAGAGCCGGCCGGTGGTCTGCCAAGCCCAGAGCGTGACCCCGTGGCCGGGCCCCAGCTCCGCACCAACTCCCTGCGGCGCCCGGGCAGCTTCAGTCTGCACCGGCCAATTTCATGTCCACAAACGGGGAGGCTTCCGACCTCTGGGGAGGCTTCCGACCTCCGGCCCTCTGCGCGCCCCCGCGGGGGGGACGACGGGTTTTATAAAAGTTGAGCGTCAGTCTGAAGCCGTCCAGGATTGGGCTTTCCACCCAGTTAGAGCGGAGGGAGGGGACAGGAAAAGGTTAATAATTTCCCCTCATCCGCTGGCTACCTTAGCGCACTCACCTTCGCGCTCTCGGCGGGACATTTCCGGAGTCCTGGGGCCCAGTTAACCTACCTGCAGCTCCGGGCGCGCGGGCGCTCCAGGGTAGACCGGGTAGAAGGTGGAAATGGGGCGTGAGAGGATCCGGGGCCCGGCGGAGAACGCGAATGAGCATGGGGATGGGATGGGCAGTTGGGCAGTGACGGCGCTGAGGGTCAGGAAAAGATTCCTTGGCGCTAGCCGGGCCATGTCCCGCGAGCCACCCTTGCCGCTCAGAGAACTTTTCCCAACTCCCTGGGGAGGCCCACAAATGGGCTAGGAAGGCTCCGCCGAGGAGGCTTCATTCTCTCGGCCCCTCTTTTCCCCACTGTGGACGCCAGCTTCCCGCCATCCCTCCTGAGGCTGGGTTCAGGTCCGGGTCTGTCCACGCCCGCGTCAGCACCGCGGACAGCGCCCGGCCTTGGCGGTTCTACCCCTCCCCTCCCCCACCCCACCCCCTGCACGCACGCCCACGAATCCAGCGTACAGTACACTCACACAGATCACCCGCAAATAATCCTCATACAGATTCATAGTCCACTCACGCAACGATGCCCACAGTCCAACCGATCCTTACAGAGGGAACGTAGACCCGCACGTGGGGAATGAGGTGGTCCCTCCGAGCACCAGCTCTCCTGGCATCGGGTCACCGACTGAGGCCAGGACTCCAGAGCTCAGCAGGTCTCACAGGGGTGCCTAGTGATTCATTGAGTTGCTCAGGCTCCGTGCACACACACAGCCTCCAAACAAACACTGTTTAGCTCCTTTCTGGAACAGAGAACGGTAGAGCAACCATCCCCCACTCCCCAATGCAGACCTGAGTAGGAACCAGGGCATCTGCCAAACAGAAGCAGGAAGCTGGCTCAGAACATTGGGTCGGTTTTGTTCAGCTCAATCAGCCCATGCCTGCCACCCTTCTCGGACCTCCAGCCAGATTCTTCTACAACCGGGCCACTCTCGCCCTTCTCTGCATCGTCCTCCCCCAGCATTCTCTGCTGCACTGTCTCTTTGTTTGCCTTCTCTGTTCTCCCCCCCCCCCCCCCCCGTGTTTGTCTCCCCCTCCCCACATACACCTTTTGGTTTCCCAATTCCTCCTTCCCAGCTGCTTTCACATTCTCTCCAACTTTCCATCAGCCTGGCTTCACCCAATCAGTCTACTCCAGCTTGATGCAGGCACAGCTGACCCATCTGCCTGCAGCTTCCACAACCCCGCCCTTCTGCTGCCCTCAAGAGCTTCTGCCCCCTCCCTGGGAAAATCCCCAGCGCTCATGCCCAGAGCCCCACAGTCTTTCCAAGGGGAGAGGTCTTGGGTCTGGAGTTGCAGCAAGCCCCCTCCTCCTTGGCTTCCCAAAGGATCCGGACCTGGCCCTGTGCCACCTCTCCTGTGGTTGCCCATAAAGTCCAGAAACTAGGCTGAAAATGAAGCATCTCGGTGTTACATGGTGGAAGGAGACTGGGGTGGAAGTGGGGAGACTGCAGTCACAGCCCAAGTATGTCCTTGGGCCAATTCCTTCCATTCTCTGAGCCTCAGGCTTCCCATCTGTCCAAGGACTGGGCTGGTTGCCGTGGCAGTCTGGGTCCCTTTTGACCCTCGTAAGGTGGGACATTGATTCTCTTGTGAGTCTTAGCATGGGTGGGATTGAAGCTCATCGTCCTGACCTTAGAGGTGATGGCCCTGTCCCCCTCCTCTGGAGCACCCACCACTGGTAAATGCATCCTGCTCCTTGAGCGAGGGATGCACAGAGCATTTCCTTTCTAGAACCAGAGATATCAAGTAATTTCTTAAGGTCACACAGCTGAAGTGACTCTGCGTTGATTCTACTGTCGGTGCAGCCTTTGCACAAGCCCCTGGTTCTGCTGGTTCTGCTGCTCATTGAAGGAGAGAAGAAGAGGCTGAGTAGAGAGATAGGGCTTCAACCTGGATTTCCCGATGCCCAGAGCCTTGGAATTATGGTTAATGCTCTGCTTTCTGGTAGTGGAGGCGTGTTTTTCTTGTGTCTTTGCCTCTCCTCCCACTCATCAAGTCTCAAAGGCAGGTGGGACCAGAGGCAGGTGGGATCATCTGCATTAAGACCCTTTAGGCTGTTCTCAGGCTGGTTCCTGGTCCCACAGAGGAGGGACTGGCTGAGTGCAGCTTTAGAGGCCTTACCCAGTGGGGAAGGGTTGGGGAGTCAGCCCCAAGTGCTTAAGCCACCGCATTGGCTGCCCATGGAGCCAGGACCTGAGGCGGAGGGAAGGCAGGGCCCTCTGCGCCTCCCTGCCTCCCAGCCACGTCTCACGCCCATGAGCTAGTTCTGCAAAAATCGCCTTTTCTGATGAGCAAAGTGAGATGCTGAATGATGAGTTGTTTCCCTAAGGGCAAACAGCCAGCCCACTGTCAGCCCTATAAATAGGCACCCCAAATGGTGATGGTGGTGGCAGTCGTGGTTGATAATGGCATAATTGGTGTTGCTAATGATGTTTGCATTATTGCTCTTGGAAGTTCAGTGATTAATCGCTTTGATTCTCCTTCCCCGTTTGAAATGGTTTCCCAGTTGAATCTCTTCCACCTCTGCCAGCCCACCCCCCCCCAAACATGGGGAAACTGAGGTCTGGGACCATGCAGCAAAGGGGTTCAATTGTCCGTCATCCCAGCCAAAGAAGAGGGCTTGTCGTTTGTAACCCTCTTCCTCCTGCCCGCCTCCCTCACCCGAGCAAGTCTCCTGCCAGGGGAGTCGGAGCCGTGTCAAAGTCTGTCAAAACACCCTTCGAAGCTGGGTTCCAAACGCCAAAGCCCAGGGAAAATAAATAAAGAGAGCGGTGTCGGTCTGAAATGGAAACATGCACCAACTCACAAATATGCAGGCTTTCCCCACGTTGTGTTCCACAGGCAGATGGCGGCGTGGCTCATGCTCCAGCGGCCCCACAGGGGCCGCCGGGAGCAGGGTGCTGGGGGCACGGAGGTGCGGAGCCTCCCCGGCCAGTTCACCCTGAGGGGCCCCCGGGCACCCACCCGCGCCCTGCACCTCACCTTCTGGAAGGTGTACAGAGAGGACAGCGATTGATTTGCGTCTTCATAATGGTCAGAAATGGGCTCCCTGAAACGGGCTGATGGTCTGGGGGCAGCTGCCTTCTGGGGGGGGGCAGCAGCAGCACCTGAAAGCTGCCCTTTGCTTGGGACCTAGTATGCGCCACGTCCTGAACATTCACTCCCATCAGCCTTGCGGCCGTCTCATGGCACAGAGGTTGTCGTCCGTGCACAGAGGCAGACACCCAGGCTCAGAGAGTGAGGTGTAGGGGCTGGCAAGGCTGGTAGCAGGAAGAGGCCAGGTCGGAGCCTGTGTTAGACTCATCCTGAAGCTGGAGCCCCCATTTGGTCCAGTGCTCTGCACTGATCCTATTTATTTTATTCATTCAGTGCATATATTTTTTAAAGATTTATTTATTTATGCTTACAGAACTGGGGCACAGGCCAGAGGTGTGGTGGGTGAGAGGATTCACCAGAGACAGAGTGGGGAGCAGAACAGTGTATTGAAATACACTGCAGAGGGGAGCAGCAGGCGGGTCAGAGCGGTCTGCTGCGCCCTGTGGGTCACTCCCTGGCCGGGGATCAAACTCGTGTTGCGGTGGTTTTTGCTGAGCTTTATGATGAGGTGCTTTAACCTGTTGCGCCACCAGGGAGCGCCCCGTTCAGTATATATTTTTTTATCTTCCACTGCTGACCAGGCCAGGGGTGAAGGGGCGGTTGCTCTTTTGCCTGATTGCTGCCTGGCATAGCGCTGGCCCCGGGATGGGTGCCTGAGGCTACTGGGCTTGGCAACCTGGGCATCTTGGGCTCTGTCCCCAGCCGAGGGCGCACGTTGTCTGTCTGGGGGATGGACCCAGGTGGACACCCCAAGCAAGGCTTGGACTACGAAAGACAACCGAACTCTGTGAGAGGTCAGGGCTGTGACGCTCGCCTCCGCAGGTGGGGACGTTACTTCAGAGAGGGCAAGTGAGTCGGCCAGCATCACACAGCACGTTGGTAGTGAGCTTAACTCTCAGAATCCCAGGCTGGAGCTCTTGCCACAGGGTCAGGCTAGAGTGTGTGGGAGACTCCCAAGCAGCCCCCCTGGAAGAAGGTTGGGCCCATAAAGGCCACAGAACAAATAGTTCCTTTCCAAACCCACAGTGAAATGCAGCTGATGCTCCCTGCCCAGCTCCTTCTCCCGTCCCCCCTGACAAGCCTGACCTTGGCGACCCACCCCTGCCGCCCCCCCCAGTCATCTTAAGCACCAGCAACAGAAACAGACTGTCCGCGTGCAGACACCTTGCGGGCATTCCTGGCGCGGGGCCCCCAGCAGCCCTGGGGCTCGGTGCTCTGTTTCCACTTCACAGTAAAGAATTGACTGGAGAGGTTGACTCACTTGCCCAAGGTCACACAGCCTGGAAAGGGGCAGGGGTTCCTGCAGAGCACTCCAGAGCAGGTTACCTGGGGGTGGGGAAAGGCCTGATTAAAAG